GGCCGGTGAGCGAACCATGGTTGTCTACTTCTTTTGTTTCATCTTCAGCAATGACTTCCCAGCCTGATAGCAGGAACAGACGAGTCAAGGGAAAAGAGGAATGTGAAAGATGCAGTACCATGAAAGAATGCTAAAAACTGCAGGAGATCACCGCCCCTCCAACAAGTCTGGCCTTGCAGCTATGGATATCCAAGACGAACCACCCCAGCCCCCTTTTTTGATGACTTCTCCTCTGCTGTTATGTAAGTTCCTGCTCAGTACAATAGTACAGTCTGCAAGGAAGGTCACCATGAAGAAACAATGAGCTTTGAACAAGGCAAAGATGAAGCTCCAAAACTTCAGTGCCTCTTGTGTGCTTATCTCCCCAGCCTCTCACAGTCACACAAAGCTGAACTTGTCTCTCCTTTCCACAACCCCCAGGTCACACATAGTGTCCTGTCCCCCACTTGAGCTTTTTTTTCTCCTAAAAGGATACGGACACTGACAGCTTCAGCATCTGTGCTCAGGAGACGCTTCACCTCTTTTTCCACATCAGGAGACTCAATATACTGGGCCAGAGAGGGGAAAGATAACAGAGACACTGTTAAATGCCTCGTGCAGGCTGCTGATGCTGGTCAACTCCAACCCTCCACCTCTGAACAGAGACCTATTTCAAGCCTTTCTTCTCTTATGCTTTCTGCTCAGCCTTTGCTCAAGTTCACCCTAAAAGTAATTTATGCACCTCCAGAAAGCAATCCATCTTTTTTGTACAGAGCTCCTTGATGGGTTGTATACTCTCATTTTTCTACTTATACTACTTATGAAATAGGACTTTCTGTGTGTATGCAGAAAGTCCTTGAGTTTCCTGATGGATGGTCAACTCAACTCCTTCCCATCTCACTCAAAAGAAGGTTTCATTTTTCACTTCTAAATCAGCCAGGAATCTTAATGCAGTGACATCAGATCTCTCCTGCGAGCTATAAGAATGTCTCAAGTAATTTGTTTCTCAAATGTCATGCAAAATAGCACTCCATCCTGTTCTCAGAAACTGCAAAGCAGAGAAGAACAAGTCTTCCCAGCCTCACGGTGCTGCATCTCCCCAACACCTTGCCTGGCTTGTGCGTATGCACAGACTCAGTCTCTGAGCTCCATCTGTTGTCACTCCCCCAGCTGACATGACAGTTATTCTATTTGTAGTGTTCCTTGTTGGGGAAGTGAACAGGCTATGCATAGAGAGATTTCAGCTGGGAAAGCAGGAATGAAGTGAACAGGCTATGCATAGAGAGATTTCAGCTGAGAAAGCAGAAATGAGCGAAGCCTCATTTCCATGCAAGTCTTCCTTTCTTCTCAATGAGCAGGAAGAGATGCGCTATGGCAAGGCAACCGCAGGAATGGAGTCCAGCAGTTCTCTGCACAGAGGATTTTCCCCTCAGGAGCATCTTGGAAAACATGGAGGAAGCACCCAAGGAAGTGTTTAAATCTACTACCCTCCCTTCACCCTCATCTCAGGCAAGGAAACATGTGAAGCAATGTTAAGAAATTACATGTTTTCTGGACTAATAGACAGTTACAGCTCTAATGCCTCTGCCTTCCTATCCCTTGGTTATTGCACCTGCATCTGTGTGAGAAGCAACTCACCTTCTTCTTAGCTGTCTTCCGGAAACGTCTCTTCCGTACATTTTTCAAGGGAAGAGTGACTGTGACAGAGGAAACAGATTGCATGTGTCAGGCAGATGGCCTAATGGGAGAGCTGCATGCCAAAAGGGAGAAGATCCCTTCGGGAACAGAGACAGCACTGAAAACGGAGAAGCAGCACAGCTGGGACACAGCAGTGGTGAGTGCCCTGCACAGCTGTGGGGACACTGGGGTGGTGGGATGGAGGGGTTTGGCACAGCCTCTACTCACTGCCATGGTTCCAGATGAATTTCTTTTCTCTGTCCTTGTCCTTCTTCTTGTTTGCCTTGGGGTCAGTGCTCACAGTTTGCTCTTCCAAAGGGGGGTAGAGATCACCATCCACAGTGCAAACAAGCATCTGGAATCCCCATATAAACACAAAGGGTGCTTATCGTAACGCAAGGACAAAAGGATGTGAAAGCTTTTCTGGAAAATGAACAGTGACTTCCCACTGCATATTGTGAGCCAAAGGGATTCATGGGCATGGGGTACGAGAAACACGTTTCACACCCAGCTCAGTTCATATCTAAACACAGCAGCAGTTAAGCTGTTACAAGGACAATCACATTTCATGCTTCAGAAATGGGATTTCTAAACACCAAGCGGAGTGGGGAATTTTAAACTGCTAATATTGTGAGAATACAGGAATTGGCCATGTTATACTGGGTATCCAGCTCCCAAAGTGTACAAGGGTTTTCCTGGAGAGGGGAGCAAGGAGTTAAGCTGTTGGGGCAGGCAAGAAGGACAGCCCATACCTGGCAAATATCCGCTGTCTTATAGAAGGTTTTCTTGTCAATGGTTTTTAAGCTCTCGATGATGCAGGGCAGATCCACCAGCTTGGCTGCCAGTGGCACCCGGTCTACGCGGACAATCCCGTGGCGCCCATCCGCTGCGGAAAGCCACAGGACAGGTTAGTGCTGTTGCTAAACAGCTAAACTGAGCACTACATTCCTGGGCAGCAGAAATTTCATGGGAAAACACATGCAAGTTGCACGGCTTCACTTTCGGACAGTCAGAGGAGTTTTAAGATGCCCTGATACTGCTCACTCACCGTGTAGCTCAATGGTGAGCCTGTCCTTCAAGTTGACATTCCCGGACTGTACCGCTCGCCGCACAGTGGAGGCATATTCCTGGGAAGGTTGGACAGACTTACGTCAGGACTGAGTGCGCTTCCTCCAAGAATCATCAAAGGCTTCTCTCCAACCTACCCAGCTTTAAACGCCCCTGCTATCCCAATGCAGAAGAACAACTGCAAGAACCGCAACGAAAATTGCACCCTCCTCCCAATACCACGCGTTAACCCTGTGGCTCTGTTATTCCCAGTGCCCTTCACACCCCCTGACATGATACAGCTGTGACAGTGGCATGGGGCCCCCGACAGAGACACCCTACCAGAGGACGACAGCTCTGGGGGAAGTTACAGCTCCCCTCACCGAGCTCTTGTGGTCTCCGCAGGGGACAGTCTCAGCTTTAAGCATCTAACAGACAGCACCAGGTACACTGACAGCCATAGCAACTGAAGACCCAGCTCTTGCTAAAGCTCTACCCTTACAGAAATTTCCTCCCTAGTTGTCTTCCAAGCCTCCTGCTCTGTGTCACAGGAGCACCTCTCGAGAGGAGGCCGTGCAAAAACTGTTCAAATTCGTGGGCTACCCGAGGCCAAAAGCATCCCACCCCTTCCACGTTCCTTGCCAGGTCCGCAGATTTCCCACTGACTTCACCCGCGTTGCTAATCCCTCTCCCAACGCCCGTGCTCGCCGAGCAAACTGGACTGAGCTGCGTGTTAAACGTGACGGTGGCCCCTTCAGCTGCACCGGACTGAACGGTCTCTTACCGGCGGCAGCCGCAGCACGAACTGACTCTCCAGCTCGTGCGGAGCATCGTCCTTGCTCTTACTCATCCCGTCTTCTTCAGCTTGAAGAACAAGCTACAGTCACCTCGTCGCCAAGAAGGCTCCCACAAGGCAACCCCAGCCCGACACCCCGAGGGCCAGGCCCTCACCCACGGGCGTCCCGCACAGGGGCGGCGGCGGGGGGCGCTGGG